AAATCCCAGCAATAACAAACAAACGAGCAAAACAAAACAAAAAACAAAAGCCAAAAACCCCCGGATACCATGTGTTCCTAACCGTTAATTTCATCTAGATTCCTCGCCGTTGAGAGAAACGATACAGCCACTCCTGCCGACATTAAAAGCCTGGCTCACTCACAACACAGGGGACCCACTCGTTGTGTGAGTGAAAAACTGGATTTTAGTTCGTTTTTTTAACGTTCTTGCCTTCGCAGTGATCGGAATTCATGGGGGTGTACTCGAGAAGATGAAAGGAAGAACGTTTTCATCTCCCCTCCCCTCCCCTCCCCCAGCCCCAAACCCAATTGCTTGCTGTCTTTCTTTCTTTTTTTTCTTTTTTTCGTTGATTATTTGTGTGTTTGTTAGTGTCTTTCTTTTGTTCTTTTGTTCTTTCTTTCTATCCCTTTCTTTCTTTTCTTTCTTTCTTTCTTTCTTTCTTTCTTTCTTTCTTTCTATCTTTTTTTCTTTCTGTGTTTCTTTTCAGGCGTTGTCCGTCCACTGCAGACATATAGCTCTCCAACAACGACCTCCACTTTATTTGACCAGCTGTTTTCCGTGTCCAGGTTGTACCCGTCTGCCTTCTGATGTCATCTTGCAACCTTCTTTCTGGTCTTCCTCTTGATCGTTTTCCTTTTCTTGGTCACCATTCAGTGCATCTTTATGTCCATCTCTTATCTTTCAATCGATCGAAGTACACCCCCCTCCCCTCTGCGTGCCTTTTAAAAAACAAGTTAAATAATGTTGTTGTTATTGTTGTATTTGTTGTTGTCGTTGTTGGTGTTTTAAATTTTGAATAATATAATATGTCTTTCTGCTGGAATATCGTATCCCTCTTTGGGCGAATTGGCTCTGACAGACAGGGTCGGAAATCCGGCCTCTTAATGATCTAACTTATGCTAATGTGCATGTGTAAGTAAAGACACGCACATTTAACAAAATAAATAAAAGTAAATAAAAATAAACGATAAAAAAAGAAAACAAAAACAAGCAAAAACAAAAACAAACAACGCATCCACTTTCCTTCAAATTCGTCCCCACCTCCACCCAGATCAGCATAGATACATAGCACCCATTTTGCGTCGTTTCCAAACACACGGCCCACCCCTGTGCCACCGAGACAAAAGGTCTGTGTGTGATCTCCCGTTGTCTGCACGCCCCTTCGAGTTTTGAAATTATGAGAAATTATTGACAGAACACTCACTCCATATTGCCTCAGTCCACGCGAACCGTTTGAATAGCAAATGGATTTCGCCGGAGCATTATACCCCGGGATCATATTTTCCGGTATTGTTTTCAAATGTTTCCAAAGCCGTCGGTTGCGAATGTCCACATATTGATTAACCGAATGGCCCAGGGCATCCACAGATATTTATATTATAATGCAGCCTTGAGGTATTCTTTGTATTTTCGGGAGGTTTTTTTTGGCTCCTTCTTTTCACTTCACATGCACACTGGTTGAGTCTATAAGTGTAATAAAAGATGGTGATAAATCGCATTTGCATAGCGCATATCTCCGCTTTAACGGCAAGCTGTATGCGCTTTACAATCTATATTATTACCCTACAGACCCTAGAACTCCGAGAGATATTCTTCGCGGGAAACATACTACAGTGTTAGGAGCCTGATGTTGTGTCGTTGGGAAAGGCACTTTGCTCGTGTTTTCCTCGCTTCATCTAGGTGGGAATTGGTACTCGGCTATAGACAGTGAAATATCTTGTCAGTTTGTGAGTATTTGAGCACGTGAAATCCGCGACCTGCATTGTTTGATTCCCAGGAACCTGAGAATGTTTCTGGATGTTTTAGAGTCCGTTTTGGTGTAAAGTGCATAGAGCGTGAACATGTCCTGTACACATGCAGCTATTATTATTACTCTTATTATTATTGTTATTATTATTAACTATTATTATTATGAAGAA